TACACTAGAGGCTCTCCTAAACTCTCCCCATGCCTGAAATACTTAGGATTCTGTAGTACTCACTATACCTAGATATGCTAATTACCCTTATTGAATCAATACACATAGTATTCTTCTACTGAAAAAAATTGCATCATACCCCACAAATATGTCTATGTCAATTATATGTCAAATACCATATGTCAATGTTTTTAATTGCCAAAGGAGGAAACCCAACAGGTAGAAGAAACCTAGTTCCACTAACTCAGCAGAGGTTGTGGTTGCAAAAGCAATCGGAACATTCGATGCATGCAGCACCCAGCTCAGCGCAGCTCAACCCAACAGTTGGAAGAAGGTTTTCGAGCACAGTCTTCCTTATCCAGGCATTATTCACTAAAGTATCACATAAGGACTTCCCAAAGTGTTCCCAGTACCCATGGACTTCCTCTGCCACCTTCTGTTACTTACACCTCCATGGCAGTAATCTATCACCATATAAAGCAATTACTTGGTTTCCTAAAGTGCTGCAAATTTTTCAAGGACACCTATGTGTCCACAGTATTAGCATGACACAAGTAATCACAAATGTATTTGTTCTAATCAATTAGTTCCTCATTTTCTCTCTATTTCCATAGTACCTTACAGTGTCCTTAACAAAGAAGGACCCCCAAAATGCTAGTTACTGACACTGAAGATTAGGCTCTTCTGGATGTTATCTATCACCCATATCTAAATGGAAATGATGAAATCTGTGGGTGGTGACCATGCATCCTTCCCTTCTCTAGGGAGGCTTAGCCATAGCTGCAGCTGTAAAGGTTTCTCATTATTTCTTAAGTTTGAGTGTGTGCCTCATACCGCACAGCAAAGGGCAGCCTACTGACAGCACAAGGTTACCCAGTTGAGGGTCAGCCCAACAACTCTCCTCTGCAGAACTGCCCCCTGCAGTCTGCCAGCCTGTCTCCACTCCCTGAACTAGGGCATGCTTGAGAGGGCATCATACCAGGGTGGTGAACTTGTCCACGCAGGCATTGCGAATCTTCTCTGGGGTGGCAGGGCTGTCTAGCTGGAAAAGTTCCTTTGCATTATAATCTGTGTGCTGAGCTCGAGCTGCGCGGATGGCATCTTTGATGGCGAAGAAAATGGAGGCAGCCAGGAAGAGAGGTGGTTCCCCGACAGCCTAAACAGACAGGGCACAAAGCAGGGCATTAGGTGGAGTGCTCTCACCTCTACATCACCACAAAGATCCAAGAGCCCAGGCAACCAGCCCTGCACAGGAACCTGGTGATGCCAGGGAAGCTCTATCCAACACTAATCAGGCTACACATGGCACAGCAGGAAGTGGAAGTCAAAATTAATCATGGACAGGAGAGAAATATGAAGAAGGGATTGCGGCATGACCATGCTGTGTGGTAATGGGGTATGCTCCTTCCTTCTTCTTTCTGTTTCTCTGTTCCTCTCTAATAAGTACATGTACCTTCCAACAATGAAAATAATAATAACAATAATCAAGGGGCCAGGTGGTGACACAGTGGTGGGTGGCTGGGCCTGGGTTCATATCCTGGGACCTTCCTAAGCACTCTGGGTATATTCACATGGGCCTGTAATCCAGTCTGGCTGGAGCTGTGGCTGAATCACAAGATGTAAATCCTATTAGGAGTAGAGTACCCTCTCTCTTGCTCTCTCTATCTCTCTCATGGAGAAAGTAAGTAGATAAACATTTTTTAAGAGAAAAAAATTAGAGGCCAAGAATAAATTATCTAATAAATGACTGGACCTCATGTGCCTACTTCTTCTAAATCTTGTTATATAATTGTCTTAGATGACACCATGCAAATATAATATTACTATTAAAAGTTATACTAAATAATTATATTTTATAGACCAAAAAATTCGACATGAGCATTAACCATTTCTTCATAGTTGCTAGCCTAGGGGGAGCAATGTTCTCATAACTCTGACTCCAACATCTACTGGAGCTATAATTATACTTACAGTGTCTGCTGGAGTGACGGGCATAATGGCAAACAGGAATTCAACATGTTATAGCAGAGCTGTTTTGTCTGCCACTCCCCCCCCAAAAGCACAGATCAGAGACCACCTGTGTCAGAATCACTAAAGGAGGAACCTACTGCATTAAAGTTTCTAAGGATAGTCCCCTGGGGTGCATCTTTTTCAAAGCACAGTAAGGTGTGACAGCCAATGACAAGGATCACAGTGTATCTCAGACACCCTCCCACACACAGAGTGAAGTAAACCATGAGATAAGCAAAGGATGGTTCATTGGTTACAAGTGACTATCTTCCTTCTTAGATCTAGGACTATATAAATCAGCTTAATTAATTTTTAACTTTTTTTTTTTACATTTATTGGAGACAAGACAGAACTAGAGGATGAGTCTTCACAATCTTCTAGGCAGGCTGATCAAACCATGAGGGTTTTGGCAACTGTCAGAGGTAGAAAACTGTATGCTGTTCTATCTGCACCTACTATGGTGTAAAATCATTTGAGGATCAAACATCAGAAGTGCATACCGGAGAGATTGTGTGGGTCAGTGTTTAAAACACAGGACTTGATTAAAGAATCCCTATGCAACACCCAAAGGAGGTGGCTTTAGACTCCATTAAGGTAGTGTCCTCAACCCTGTTCAACTGGTTCTCAGGCCATCGAACCTTCTACTACACAAGCTAACTTCAGTGTTGAGCCCTCTTCTTTCTTCAAGACAAGCCCCTTGCAGACCCACCTGGTGGGTGGATAAAGCCCCTCATCACCACCATGACCTTCCACAGTGCAGATCAAAAGGCAGCACAGACTCAGAGCAATCATACCTTGGATGCATAGATGGCCTTCTTGTTGGGGCAGTCACGAAGCAGGGAAACCCTGAACTCAATGGGGATGCTGCCAAATGCAGGGATCTTGTAGGTGCTGGGACCACGGGTGTGCAGGCTCCCCTCAGGAGAGTACTGTAATTCCTCCAGGGTAAAGAGGCCAAGACCTTGGACAAATGCCCCTTCTACCTGCAAGACAGATGGTGACCATGGTTACCCTGTCTCCCTCCTTTCCAAGGAGAGATACCACTCATAATAGGCACAAAGTCCCACTTCTTATGGGGCCTGGAAGAAGCAAAAAGTGCCCTTTACCTCTTATCTGGCTCCTGCTGCAGCCCTGGGATAACTTTCATCAGGCTTTGTCTCAGGTCGAGCAAAGGCATTAACACCAAAGGCCAATTTTAGAATATGTCAGAGATTTGAGGAGTTCACACAATGGTAGGTATAATTTCTTACTAAGACCCAATGTAGTGCAGATAGAGATGGTCCTTTTTGTCACCACTGGTTGAAATGGTGACTCAAAGCTGAGAACTAAACTCACAGGAGGAATTTCCTGGATAGTAGATTCTTTGAGACTTACGTCCAGCCTTCTCAACCTCCCACCCCAGCCTGTCCTCTGGGAGAAAGTGCCCCTGCTGTAGTTTGTAGCTCTCTTCTAGGGCACCTGTCACAGTATTCTGGTACACATGTCTGCTCTTCCGGGTCCCCTGTTCCAAAGAGTGACATGCAACCATACTGTAGTTGATCGAGCATTCAGGGTAAAGGCTGACCATTAATCACTTGTGGATCTGCAGTGCCTGCACAGTGCCTGCTTCTCAAATGGTTGTCAACAAATCAATGAACAGATTGACTAATGACTAGATTTCTGATGACTCTAAATGTCCATTTTCGAGATATACAATTTGTATTTTTTACCAGGTGCTCAGTACTTGAACTTTTGATTCCTGCCTCTGTTTTCTCCTGTTTAGCTTATTCTGCTCAATAATCTGTTTTCTAAAACTTATTTTCTTGTTGTCAACCCTACCTCCTCCTGGTTGGGCCTCTGTGCTTTGCCCTCTAGAACCCTCAACAGAGCATCCCACTCTCAATAGCATTTACTTCCTGGAGCAAAAAACTATCCTGAGTAGAAGAGGAATGAGAAGAGAGAAACCTTTTCTGGCCTGAGACTCCACTGCCTGATCCCAAACACAATCTCCATTCCACATTGTGCTGATTTTCACACTGTGTGTGTGTGTGTACGTGTGCGTGTGTGTGTATACATGCATGCATCCACTGCTTTACCATATTCAATATTCAACAATATTCATCATATTGTTCTCTGAAATGTAAGTGTCCTCTCCAAGTTAGTTCATACTAATTTGTTTTCTGCCTTAAGAGTTTGGTGGGCTGTCCTCAGTTCAAATCCCACTCTGGGGGGAACTCCCTTGGTAGCATGGTCCTGCCTGCTGAAAATCAACACTGGAAAGTGTGATGTGGTTGATGAGTGTAGGAGGAGGATGGGGCACACCGGTGGACACATCTGTCACCACCCTGGTCCCCCAAGAGCTTTACCTGTCCAATGTCGATGGCAGGGTTCAGACTGGAGCCAACATCCATGACAATGTCTGTGCGGAGGTTCTAAAATAGAAGCCATTTGAAAAGAAAGAGCTTTTTGGAATGTGATTATGGTCTCTTGGTGACCCTGAGACCGCAGTCCCAACCCAAATCATAGTTTCACAGTACAGAGCTCTGAGCCTACTCAGGCATAAGTGTTAAAGTTCCCTCCAAGCTTCTACCGCCATCATCACTGCTGAGGTTTGAGGTCTTAGCAGCTAGGTAGGGGATGGGGAGCGGCAATGACCTCTCAGTAATCGAAAATCACTGCATGCATTCATGTGTGAGTCGTAAGAGCAGTTTCCCAGGGACCTGGGCTTGAGCCTGAGTCTCGGATCATGACTCACATAAGACCGTGTAAGGAAGAAGTGAACAGCTACATTCCATGGGCTGAATCCAACCACCCCCTGTTTTTATAGGACCTGAAGGCTAATAATTACATTATAAAATGGCTGAGGAAATTAAAAGCAGGAATATTTTGTGAGAAGTAAAAATTACATAAAATTCAAACTTCAGTGTCCATAATACATTTTATTGGAACACAGTCATCCTCATTTGTATACGTACTGTCTGCAGCTGTGTTTATGTCATACTAGTAAAGTTGAATAATTGAGGCAGAGATTGTATAGCCCATAAAGCCTAAAAGATTTACTCGGAGCCCTTTATAGAATGTTTTCCATCCCTGCTCTAAGGCTTTATTTTCTCAACCAGAAAGTTTATCTCTATAAGCTCCTAGTATTTCAGTTCTGTTGCTTTTCTTCTCTTTCAGAGTTCCAAAAACATCTTACCTTATGATCTCCTGTTAAGCAGTCAATTTCTACCTCAGAGCAAGCCACGCCATAGGTGAAGTAGTGGAAGGGATTCCCTGAGTTTGTTTCAAAGCTGTAGCCAAGGTTGGGTGTTCTTGGAGAGAAAAGGAGACCTCACATGAATTAAGAGGAGTAAGAGGAGCACACTCCCTTTTCATACACACACACACACACACACACACACACACACACACACACACACCTTGTCACACAAAGTCTTTCAACTTAGAAGGTTTATTTTTTAATTCAACTGTTCTCCAAGAAAGTCTACATGTTTTTGAATATTTTGAATCTGTTGATGAAACTCAGGCACTTCAGATCTTTTTTTGTAGTTTTATTGCCAGAGGGCACATGCCCTCACTAGAGAGAATGAGAGAGGCAAATCACCCCCTAATGGAGTATGGCCAGTCTACGGTCCTTTCTCTCCATTTCTCTGTCCCATCAGGATTTTAGGCACCTCTACCTAGCATGTTTTTCAAGCCATGGGGCTATGTGGAGTCCAGCTCCCATTGCAAGCTATCAACCACTGCACTGCAAAGCCAGCCCAGGACATTTTCTTTCTTGTCTCTGTTCTTTTTTGCTAAAGTCCTGATATAATCATTCTTTGCAGCCTGGCTATGTTTAGTATCACATTGGCCTCCACGTAGTAGAACCAGATATGCCAGTAGAAACAGAGCGTGTGTTGTTTAAGAATCAAGTTGGCTGCCCATAGTCTCTGCACACACTCACTTTCTTATCTGTATCTCTTGCCCACATTGGCATAGCACCAGAGGCTGTCCAGATGCTGGCCCCATGCCTTTGGCCTTTCTGACCACCAGAATCATGAACCAAATAAACCTCTTGTTTCTAAATCCCCCTGTCTCAGGTGCGCTGTTACAGTGACACAATGAACAAAGACAGGTGAGATCTCCTCCTATTAACACAGCTACTACAGTTTAACATGGCAGAAGATACACGCTCTCTTTGAAATCTCACTCTTTTAATGAAGCTCCTCTGTACTGTACTCTGCATTTTGTAATAAGACCACGTGCTCTAAATCTTTTTCTTGTTCTTTTGAGGAAAAGCCTCTGTACAGAAATCTGATACATAGTACACAGGAGCACCCGGGGCTATGGCAGTACCTCACTCAGAACAACGAGCACACCTGCATCTTGCAGGAGAGCACAGAGGAGGGAAGGGCTGGTGACTGGCCCAGTCCACCATCAATGAGGAAATGGGGTCAGAGGGAACCACTGATTTCCCCCAGCAAAATAGTGTGCTTCAAGACCAGAATGAGAACACAGGTCTTCTGATACGCCCTCCCCTGCTTTGGCCTCCTTGGTGCATAGTTTGGTAATGCCACATATTTTATGGTATCTTTAGGCTGAAATTAATGGAGGTTCATCAAAGGGTAAGTGCTTCAGTGAGCAGCTCTCTCCTGACCACAGCTGGAGGGAGGGGCCCTGGAAGGCTGAGATGACGACACAGAGATGGGCACGAACAGCACCACACTTACTTATAGAACCCAGTAGCAGACAAGCTCACTGCATCCATGTAGGCATCTGTGACCTGAGGAGAGGAAACAGCCATCAAGAAGGGGGAAATGTGGCTTCTAGAAGCCCAGGCCTGGCACTAGGCTTTCATGAGCTCATCCTCTCCATCTGGAAGCCATCGTCTCATTTTATTAGAGAGTTCCACATGCACCTCACATTCTTACTTCCACTACATGCACAGAACCCACTCATCCGAGCCTGGGGCACCATATAACCTCTTCATTGGTCTTTCTGTCTCAAGTCATCTCCCCACGCCAGCCCCTCTCTGAGGAGTGGTCATCTCAACATACCACGTGACCTATGTCACGTCCTTATCCTAGAGCTTTTGACAATTCCTCATTGCTACAGAACAAATGTCTGGCATTAAGGACCACAGTCTTCTTTCTGGCCATGGGTGATACATCATCACTCCCTGGGCAAACTCAAGTATTTAACGCTCTCCCAACATTTCCATGTTGTCTCCTCCACACCTTCACATATGTGATTCCTCTAAAGCTATCCAAGCCCTTTGCTTCCCTCAATGACTAGCTCAAACTTGCCTCCCCAAGTCCCTCTCCTTGGTAGGAGTTCCTACTCTGGCCTTTAAAAAGGCAATTCCATATAGTTCTCATCTGATACTTAAGATGCCTGGTTAGCTTATAAGATGCCTGCTTTTACTTATACTTTCCTATTAATAAAGTGATCCATCCAACCTATCTCTTTATGTAGCAAGTTTAAAAATAAAAATATCCCCAGCACAAGCACATGCTAAGATTTAGGCTGGGCTTAAAATAATGTGTATCATCATCCTCATCATCATCAATTATCAAACTCTTTACTATGTATATTTAGCACTTTGCATACAGTATTTTACTTTATATTCACTATAATCCTATGATATCTGTAGTATTATTACCTTCCTTTTACAGATGAGAGAACTAAAGCTTAGAGTAAAAAAGACTTTGGCTTAAAATCTACCCTGATCATGTAATGTAATATTGTATGTGTGTGTGTGTGTGTGTGTGTGGTGATTATGGCTTATTTATTGGGATTATCTGCCTTCAAGGAACACTGGACTATATGGCTGGTAGTTGAGGACAAAGATCAGATTAGTAGGTTAGACGATAGGAAATTTTTGTCAAGGTTGTTATTGAAAACAATTTGGGATCAACAGATGATGTAATGGTTATGTCATTGGACTTCCACATAGTTGACCACAGTTCGAGTCCTGGTCCTGGCAACTTAAAACTCATGGCAGGCACATGGATGTGCATACCCTAAATCTCAAGTGGGCAATGAAGGAGAAAGGATTGTGGTGATTTCATACAGACTACCTCAAAATCTCTTTGTCTCTCCCAGTCTCTCCAGTGAGTGCATGCACCCCATAGCAAAAATCTGTCTTAAAAAAAGAAAACATTTCAATTGCCTGAAAAAATTCATGCTAAAGCTCAACTAACAAACTGAGCTCTGTTCGCATGGTATTCGTACATAAGAAATTTGAGAGTGTAAGGTGTGTGGGGGGGAGTTATGTGATGTGTAATGAGTGGGTCTGAAAGAACGGCCTCTTTTCTTTGAGTCTACTGAGGTGAATTTGTACTATCTGAGCCAGTTCATGTGTAGTCACATTTTATGTGTTACTCTTACACTCAGTTTTCCCCCTCTAACATTGGATGAAGCAGAGACATCATTGATATTCCTGCTTATTGGAGCCTAAGGTCTCCTGAGAAAGACCCACTTGTATCTCCCCTCTGAGGGTTTCTCATATGAAGGCCTCTGATCCAGATGTCAGGGTATAGGAATCATTTTTATTAAGAATGCTTGTTCTGTCACTCTTAAAATCACAGGAATGATAGAAGCTCTTGGTAGACTCATACTCAACAGAAGGGAAAGCTTTCTAAGAGATAAAAGTTTGAACAAAAGTCAAGCTCTTAGAAGCTGCTGGACCAGTGATGCATGAGACCAGGCCCAAGTGGGCCAAGATATCATGATGAGGCATGTTCAGAGTCACTCTGTCTTCTGAGGTTCAGATCAGTCAAATTCCTATTCCCACAAAGCTGTTAAGATCCTAGATCAAAAATTTTCTTCAAGAGATTTCCCTTGACTATGAAAACTACAGAGAAAGAGGTCTAGCAAGATTAAACAGTTACTCATCCTGTGAAATCATACAGACTACCTCAAAATCTCTTTGCTTATGTGACTAGATTATTGTCTTCTAAGCTTGTTTGGGGACAAGGCTTTGTTGGTAATTTCTCTCTGATTTGCAAAAGTAACTTGGATCAGCTCAGACTTACCCAGTCTTCCCATTTGCCACTGGGATTCTTTCTCTTGAAGGGCTCCAGCCTTTGTAGGATGGTCTGACAAGCTGCCTAAACAAAACACCCACCACACACAAGACACATCAATCTGAATTCTTTGGCCCAGGCAAAACCTGAGGACCTTGGGAAGGTCACCTCCATGCTAGTCTGTGCCCAGAACCCCATCCAAACAGCTTTGCCCACCTCTCACACCAAGGCCCAGGATGGAAGCCACAGGATCCTGCCAAAGGTGCCACCACTAACCCTTGCTTAGAAAGTATTCCCTGACCCAGTTCTCGCTAACAGAGGGCACAATCTTTGAGAGACTCCCAGGAACGTTCCTTTTTCTATACAGCTTCTTTGTTTTATTATATCCTTCACCAGGAAGGAGAAGCAAATGGGTCCAATCTGGATGGCTCTATAATCAAATCTCGATTTCAGCCTCTTGTCTTGTAGCCAGTTTCAACTCTAGGAAAGATGTCTTCACAGAAGTCCCAGTTTTCCCTCCAGGGCCCCTCCCCCCGCACTCTGCTTTCCTGGGTTTGATGAAGTGATTACATTCTTGGGCCTTGCTTTTGGCTTGGTTTTGGCTCTTATCTCCTGGTTCAGAGAGCCAAAGGCATGGTCATAGCCAAAGTGCCTGCGAAGAACCATTTCAGCTCCCATCCCAGGGTCTCTCCAGGCCCCAAGCCCTGAGCTGGCTCCCCCAGGCTCCTCACATAGACGGCCTGGCCATTGATGTCAGTGCTGACAGAGGCTGCCGTGGGAGAGGTGTTGGGCACAGTGCTAGTGCTTGTCTCGCTGATGTAAATCTTAGAGGTGGGAATCTTCAGAGCCCTGCTGGCCACCTGCAGAAAAAGAAGAACCTCTTTCTAGGGAAAAGATTTTCAAGGGACCTGGTTGACTTCTCCCCAAGATTCAGGCTCACTCTTCCAAGCAAGAAAATACTTTTTGTAAGCTCTAATCCTATTGATTTTAGGATGCACTCACCTCTAGATAAATGTGAAACAGCACTCTATGGAGTGATTTGGGTGCATAAAATATTCATAAATCTAATAGTGACTAGCCTTTTGAAGGGAAGTCTGGCTTTTTAAAAATTCCAGTTTGGCCACTCCCCAGGAGCCAAGCAGATGTGCTCATTCTACTCCAATCCCATTCTCCCAGCTCTACACTGAGGGCTGCAAGGAACTACATTTACACACACAGCTGCCCACCTTACACAGTCACAGGGCCCTAGAATACAGTAACCATAATGCAAGTGTCCTCAGAAATCAACTGGCCAATTCCTCTGCACAGATGAGGAAACTGAGGCCAAGAGAAGGAAAAGACTTGCCCAAAGCCACAGGGAAATAAACAGCAGGGCCAGGGCCAGATCCCAGACCACTTCTGCTCTGCAACAGCCCCCTGCTCAGTTCAATTCTTACAGTATCTCCCCTCACCAAAGACCTCATGCTGCCAGCAAGGACCCCCGGAGCCCCAAGGCTGCTCACCTGGACCATCTTGGTGTGAAGGCCTTGACCCATCTCAGTGCCCCCATGTGTCAGCAACACAGAGCCATCTGTATACACGTGAATTAGGGCTCCTGCCTAAAGAGAAAAAAGGATCCCAGACACAAAATTCAGCAAATCCAAACTCAGCTTAGCACTTGTGGTTAAAGGTACAAAACCCAGGACAAAGAAAACCAGCAGTATCATTTGGTCTCCAAACAAAAATTATAGCCATATGGATCTCATGAACCAAAGATATAGCCCTTTGGGAGCTTGCAAAATGCCTTCCTATCTTCCTCTCTCTGTCTCTCATCCTCAGAAAGATGTAGGTAGGCTATCTGCGTCCTCACTCTCTAAATGAAGAAACAGGATGAGAAAGGCAGAGTAGCTGTCCACAGTCCCACCATCAGAGGAAGGATAAGAACTAGAGGCTGACACCAGATCATGTTAGACAAACAGGAATATGCAAGCTCAACTCTCATTTAAACAGTAAAGAGCTCCTCTCATTTTTTCTGTTAACAGTGACAATGGCATTTTATTTGCCATACTATAAACAGGGGGAAAATGGGGCCCCAGTTCTAGGGAGATGAACAAAATTATATAAAGCAATTACCTGATTCAGAAAAGGAACTGTGAAGCTTATTCCAAACTTGGTAGGAATTATACACAATCCTCTCTTTTTCCAGCAATTCTCCCTGAAGAACAAGGAACATTCACATAGAACTTTCTCTACAATATTGATGTTAGATTGGACATATTTTCAATCAATATCTTCATATCAAATCAAAACAGGACATCCTTGGAGCCGTCTATATGGCCATCATTATAAATGATTTGTATCTTCAATAGTGTATACAAACAGAACGGTGGGAATTTGGGCCCTGGCTCCTCCAGTGCAGCTAGAGCAAAGCCCATCCTCGAGTCTGACTTTAAAGTACCATCACTCTTTTCCCTGAGTGGAATTCAATTCAATTCAATACGTGTTGGGTCTGAGTGCTGGTGCTGATCCCAGGGAGGAACTATAGGGTGCTAATGATAATGATGCCCTCTGTGCTTTGTATCTAGTTATCTGAATGACTCTGTGAAGAAGACAGAGACTGTATCATTTCCCCCCCTTTGCAGATAATGAAACTGAGGCCCAAGAAGAAGGAGTTATTGCCAAGGTCATATTTAAAGATTAGTGTCAGAGGCAGGTGCATGATGGTGATGTTTAGTCTTGAGTCGGTGCTCTCTGTCACACTGTGTGCTCGTAGACATACAAGCCTATAAAGCACAACTGATAAGCTGGGATGCTGAGTGCATTGCGTAAGCCCACCTGCCTCCAGACTGAAGATCACTACAAAATCTAAGGAGATGACAATGAGTGAGTTGAAAAATTCAGCAGCCTCCTAAGTTACTCTCTAAATTGGTAGCTTTGTAGTCAGCAAAAAAGCTGTAGAATATGGAACCCTAGAGAACACCAGAACATGAGACTCCCCTCTCCCAGAACTTACTTGTTGAACTTGTCAACCTCACTCTTCCGAGTATGGTACTGAGAACTTGCTAGACATTCGTCCCAGCACCTGGGCAAGGTGAACCCCTCAAGCCTCTGGTTAAAGTGTGTCAGGTCCCCTTCTTTGTACAGGTTTTTCCTCCGCACCTTCCCAAAGAGAGAGACAATGAGGCCTTGTTGGAGGCAAGAGACGGGCAGGACAGGGGTAGGAAGTAGGCATGACTTGAAGTTAAGCCTCCAACCCCTTCAGCAACACTTGCCCATCCTCTACCCCCAGGGGAGATGCCTAAGATACAAAACCCCACCCACTCTAACTTATGCACCAAATTTCCAGCTGACCTCCTCTGCAGGCAGCCCGCAGGTCACTGCGACTTCACTCATCCAATACTCAGCAATGAGCATCCCCTGAGGTCCTCCAAAGCCCCGGAAGGCTGTGTTGGAGGGCAGATTGGTCTTGCACAGCCGCCCAGTGCCCCGGATGTTGGGGATTTTATAGCAGTTGTCCATGTGGAATAGAGCTCGTTCCATTATCTGAAGCAGAGGAAACGAAAATGGAAGAGAACAGTGTGTTGATTTAATTGGCTCCTCCAACTAGGTTTGATTGTACCCATGCCTGTCTTTCCCAGCTTACTGGCAATTGCTCTTTTTGTGCCCAATTACTTCTTACCCAGGATATTTAAAAAAGCCTCCTTCCTGCACATTATAATCCTATTAATATCCTTATCCATTTCCTCTAAGAGGAACTCCTCTTCAGACCCTCAAGCTGGAACTGATCATTTGCCTTTAAAAATAAAATAATTTTTAAACAATTGTTTAAGGAATTATTTTATTTAACTTAATTAATTTATTTATTTTGATTTTTTTAATTTAACCAGAGAGGGACAGAGTAAAAGAAAGAGAGAAGGAAAGTGAGAAAGCAAGCTGCCAGGTCCAGGACTTGAACTGTGGTCGGCCATGTGGGAGTCCATATGATGGTCAGCCCTAAACTACCATGCCAGTCCCCCAAAATGAAATAATTTGTTTTTTAAAAAAGTTGATCCTGGGGCCAGCAGTTGGTGTAGCAGTTACATCGTTGGGCTCCCCTGTGGCCAAGCATGGTTCACATTCCAGACCTGGTGGCTTGAAACTCACATGAGGTGCTTATGCACGCATGCGCGAGATCCCTGGAGGAGAATGGAGAAGAAGGGATTGTGCTGTGGCTTTCCCCACTGGAGGGTGATTCCTCACTTTCCCTCTAACTGTCTCTGTCTCTGTCTCTCTTTCTCTCTCTCTGGCAAGTGCATACACCCTAAGGCAAAAACCTCTGAAAAATTAAATAAATACATAATTGAGAACATTTTAAAAGTTGATTTTATTAATTTATTATAAATCGGCTTTTATTCACATCAAAGTTGCATTGCTAATAGTTTAAAGAGTTAAGTATTTACATAAGTGTGTTATAAAAAATAGCGGCCTCCCTTCACTTTCTTTCCCTTACTCTCTAGAAGCAAATGCTTACCATTCTCATTATGTATTCTTTATCAGTTATTTAGATTAACTTCCACATTTCTCAGGTGTCTATATTGCTCTATCTTGTCTTTTTCAGTTTTCAACTTTTAAACTGTCTTTCCATTATGGAAAAGGAGGACTTAGTTACTGCCTAACTCCCTTTCCCAGCATACATACAGCTTCCTGTTCCCCCATACAGCTGTGTTTTGATGTGACCCTCAGTTTAATGTTATACCTCTGAAAACATTGCTCGTGGCTGAATCATGTAGTTGCACTATGATTCTCTTTCTTGATAACTTTTTTAGTTCTTTATTTAATACTCGTCTTTATTTTTTCACTTGCTTCATTTTACATGCATTTATTGCTAAGTCAACTTAAAATTTTCTCCAATTCTGAAATCTGTTCTGGGTGTGTTCAGTGCACTAAATACTTTGACTTACATATTGCCGACATGGAGGAAGGCTGGCAATACTAAAATGTCAGTGATCACAGACACCAAAAAGCCCACCCTATTCCAAATCCTTCTTCCTCTAGCCAAAGTACCAGGAGAGAGGCAGCCTAGCAAAACTGAACACTCTTAGACAATGACTTCTCTACTCCAACTAGATATCACAGCGAAAAAGTGTGGCTCCATCCCTGTCTACACCTGCAAAACCAAAGACAAAGGAAATATCTTGAAAGCAGCTGGAGAAAATGATGCCTTATCTATAGGAGAAAACTAATTAGAATGGCAAAGGAATTCTCATCAGGAACCACAGAGGCCAGAGTAAATAACAGTTCTGTAGTTGATGAAAGTAAAGAACTGTCAAACCAAAATAAAATGCCTAGTAAATTTTTCTTTGGGACTAAGAAATGAATTGAGACATTTTTCAGATGATGGAAAACTAGCAAAGTTGTCCTCGGTAGGAATACAATTTAAAAAATGGCCAGAGGAAGTTTTCTAGACAAAAAGAAAAGGATAAAAGAATGAATTTTAGTGTACAGGAAGGGAGAAAATAAAAACACTGAAAGAAAAAATATGGGTAAAAACAATAGCCTTTACTTCTCCTGGGTTTTTTAAATTGCATCTGAGAGTTGAAACAAAAATTATAATACTGTCTTGCTGTGGTTCCAAATATATGTAGAATAAATATTTTAAATAAAAGTAATATAACTAGGGGAGAGCAAAGAGTCATAAAGGGTAGTAAGATTTCTATACTTGACTGAAATAGATAAAATGACAACTCCAGTAGATTATGATAAATTAAATATAACTTAATATCTCTAGCAGCCACTAAAAAATTATAGGAGATATTTTCAAAAACGTGATAGATAAATAAAAATAGAATACTAAAATAATGTTCAAATATCCCACAGATAGGCAGGCAAAAGAATACAAAGAAATAAAAGAGTGAGAAAAAAACAGAAAATAAAAATTAAAGAGGCAGACTCACATCCTAATAAAACAATAGCAGTAACTATATTTAATGTATAATATAAATACAATTACATTACAGAGATTAGCAGAATGAACTAAAAATCATCCTCAACAAAATTATTTCAAATATAAAAATAAATTAATTTTAAAAAATTATTTCAAATATAACAATCTAAGCAGGTCAAAATTAAGAGAGTGGAAAAAGACATACCACACAAACATTAACCAAAAGAAAGCAGGAGTGGTTTTCACATAAGACCAAGTAGATTTCAGAGCAAATAAAATTACCAGAGAGACTGAAACATTATATAATGATAAAAGTGTCAATTCTTTCAAAAGACACAATACTGTGTCTGTCCCATAAATACTGTGTCTGTCCCATAAAACAGAGTTAAAAAATATATCAAGTAAAAAGTGGTAAAACTGAAAGGAGAAAAAAATCCATGATTATAGTTGAATATTTCAATGTCTCTATCTCAAAACTGTTAATAAATAAATAAATCAGGAAGGATATAGAAGAACTTGGCAACACCAACAGCTAATAGGATCTAATGAATGTTTATAGAAATGCTACCTGTGGTAGAAAGCAAAAACACCTCCCCAAAGGTATATCCACTCCTAATCATGATACTTAAGAGTTAAAATTAAGGGTTTTAATTTTAAGACCTAAGAAGTAGCTTATCCTGGTAAATTGGGAGGGGGGTGAACCTTAATCGTAATCACATGATTCTTTTTAAAGAGTGGTACAGAAAGACAAGAACAGACGCATAGAGAAAGTATCTATGTATAGACAGAGACAGAGATTGGGCCACAAATCAGCAAGTACCACCAGTCACCAGAAGATTGAAAAGGCAAGGAGAGACCTGCTAGGTGGCCTGGTGGTTAAGACAACTGGATCCCACATGGCCAACAGCACAGTTCAAGTTCCAGACCCAGCAACTTGAAAAACACATCAGGCACATGTGTATGCATACCCAAAATCCCAAGAGGAGAATGGAGGCAAAGGTATTACAATGTGGTTATTTCCACGTGTTGTGTTTCTTTTCTTTTTTTTTTTAAGATATTTTTTTTCTCATAGTGCATGTTTGTTCACCAGAGGGAGATAGAGAAGAGAAAAGTGAGAAATCACCCTTCCCCTCCAGTGACTGATCATGTGGGAGTCCAGTACCTTAACCACCATGTCAAATGCTGGCTCTTTTTCACTTTCTCTTTCTCTCCTTCTCTCCCCTCTCTCTGGCAAACACATGCAAATTATAAATAAATGAATAAATACACAAATAAATAAAATGTTTAACCTTGTTTTTAAAAAGAAAAAGAAAGATGAAAGAAGGAAAGAAGGAAGATAAAACAGAGTTAAAAAATATATCAAGTAAAAAGTGGTAAAACTGAAAGGAGAAAAAAATCCATGATTATAGTTGAATATTTCAATGTCTCTATCTCAAAACTGTTAATAAATAAATAAATCAGGAAGGATATAGAAGAACTTGGCAACACCAACAGCTAATAGGATCTAATGAATGTTTATAGAAATGCTACCTGTGGTAGAAAGCAAAAACACCTCCCCAAAGGTATATCCACTCCTAATCATGATACTTAAGAGTTAAAATTAAGGGTTTTAATTTTAAGACCTAAGAAGTAGCTTATCCTGGTAAATTGGGAGGGGGGTGAACCTTAATCGTAATCACATGATTCTTTTTAAAGAGTGGTACAGAAAGACAAGAACAGACGCATAGAGAAAGTATCTATGTATAGACAGAGACAGAGATTGGGCCACAAATCAGCAAGTACCACCAGTCACCAGAAGATTGAAAAGGCAAGGAGAGACCTGCTAGGTGGCCTGGTGGTTAAGACAACTGGATCCCACATGGCCAACAGCACAGTTCAAGTTCCAGACCCAGCAACTTGAAAAACACATCAGGCACATGTGTATGCATACCCAAAATCCCAAGAGGAGAATGGAGGCAAAGGTATTACAATGTGGTTATTTCCACAGGGAGTGTTTTCTTTCTTTTTTTTTTTATTTTAAGATATTTTTTTTCTCATAGTGCATGTTTGTTCACCAGAGGGAGATAGAGACAGAGAAAGTGAGAAATCACCCTTCCCCTCCAGTGACTGATCATGTGGGAGTCCAGTACCTTAACCACCATGTCAAATGCTGGCTCTTTTTCACTTTCTCTTTCTCTCCTTCTCTCCCCTCTCTCTGGCAAACACATGCAAATTATAAATAAATGAATAAATACACAAATAAATAAAATGTTTAACCTTGTTTTTAAAAAGAAAAAGAAAGATGAAAGAAGGAAAGAAGGAAGGAAGGAAGGAAGGAAGGAAGGAAGGAAGGAAGGAAGGAAGGAAGGAAGGAAGAAAGGGGAAAAAAGAAGGAAGGATGGAAAGAAGGAAAAGAAATGGATTTTCCCTTAGAGCTCCCAGAGGACATGTGGTCCTGCCAACACCTTGACTTCAAACTTCTCACCTCCACAATATGAACCTCAAGAAATTTGAAAGAAATCAAAGTCATATAAAATGGGTTCTTCAACTAAAATGGAATGAAACTAGAGATCAATGGGAATTGTCAGGCTAGAACAAGAGCAGGAAAATCTGGAAGTACTTGGAAACCAAACAGCACACTTCTATAATAAATAACCCAGGGATAAAAATGGAAATTGCCAGTGATATAAACAAAGAAATTAAAAATGCAATATATCAAAACTTGTGGGACCCAGCTAAAGTAGGGCTGAAAGGAAACTCTGAATACTAAATTGAATACATTAGAAAAAGGTGGGATAATCTCAAAAAAATCATTTAAATTCCTACCTCAAGAATCTAGAAAAAGAGGAGCAAAATAAAACCAAAGCAAACACAAGGAAGGAAAAAATAAAGGTAAGAACAAAAACCAATAAATTAAAACCAAAAAAAAGGAAAAATCAATGAAACAACAACAACAAAAAAAAAAACCTGGTTTTTCAAAAAGGTAAAGTAAAATTGACAAACTTCTAGCAAAACTGATAGAAAAGACACAAATTACCAATATTAGGAATGAAATAGGAGATATCACTACAGACCCTGAAGACATCAAAAAGACTATAAGGAAACACTATGAATAATTCTTTACACATAAATTATTAATAACTTAGATAAAATATATCAATGTCTCAGAAGACAAAACTACCACTTTAACATGAAATAGATCATTTTAATAGTTTTACAACTAATAAGAACATTTAATTAATCATTTTAAGGCTCCAAAAAAAGAGAAATATCCAGGTACAAAATGTTTACTGGAAAATTCTTTCAAACACTTAAAGAATTAACACTAATTCTACGCAATCTCTTCCAAAATTGGGAGAGAAGGGGACACTTCTCAAATCATTTTATGAAGCTAGTGTCATACTGACAGCAGCAAAAACAGTACCAAAAAAAAAAAAAAAGGAAGAAAGAAAAAAGAAAAAGAAAAATACAGACAAATTTCTTCATAAATATCAGTCAATAGAATTTGGTAATACAGAGGCTCCTCGACTTATACTGGAATTAAGTCCTAACAAACCTATCATAAATCAAGATGTATTCAATACTCCCAATAAACTCATTAGAAAGTCAAAAAAGTATAATTTGAAACATCATAAGTTGGGGACAATCTGTATATTAAAATAATTATGTCATAATCACACTGGATTTATTCCAAAACTGCAATAATCAAGATAGTGTGGGGAACCAGTAGGTGGCGTGGTGGTTAAGGCATGGGACTCCCACATGGGCCACACAGTTCAAGTCCAACCCAACAGCTTAAAATACACCAGGCTTCTGTGTGTTTGTGCCCAAAATTCCAGGAAGAGAATGGAAGAGAAGGGATTGCAACATAGCCATGCCTCCTAGGAGGGGGTGATTTCTCACTTTCCCTCCCATTGCCTCTCTCTGTCTCTCTATCGGTCACACATGCTATATGGCAAAAACTTTTAAAAAAAAATAATAATAAAGAAGACAGCTGTGTGGTATTGGCATAACAATAAGCACATAGATAATGGAACAGAATTGAGATTCCAAAGTAAACCCTTATATTTTTGTTTTTTTTCCCCAAACATTTCAGTCACCCCTGGGTGTAGACAGGTCCCACTTACGCTTTGAGAGAGATCCAGGGTGTTCCCCGCATTGCTGAAATGATCTACCTCCAGAGCCACAATCTTTCCGGTCTTCATGAAGCCAACCTGGTAAAAGGAGATTTCTCAACAGTCCCTCCCTCTGTCTTTCTCTGATCCTCCCCTCTTGTACTTGTAATACCTTGTACTACCTGGGGGAAACAGAACAAGACATTACACCATTAAAATAGTGGCCTTTAGAGATCACCAGAACATAACAGGTGAAAAAGAGAGGAGCCTAAGTCTTCCTGTGGTGGTCCCTTGGATCCTTGACCCTGACACACTTGTCCCCAACACTCCACTTCCCTTCCACTTGTTCCCTGCCTCTAAGACTGGGAGTGAGAAGGTATAAAAGAGAAAGTTCATCACAATAGGATGGGAAGAGGAAGGGTGATAAAAGAAACTGAGAAAGATACTGGAGAGTTCCCCAGAGCTTTTGGCCAGCAGACTAGTTACACCTCACACAGGCGTGATTGTGCTGGTACATCCCTGACCTATATAACCATCAAAAACCCTTCACAGTTCATTTCATAGGTGTGAAAACTGAGCCTCAAAGATATCAAGTTACTTTCTTCAGCCCCATAATAATTTGGTCAGAAGAGGAATACAATCCCTTTCTGGAAGTTCACTCAGGAAACAAAGTCAGAATAGGTCAAAGAGGAATGCTCAAGATCAGTTTGTGAAGCGAGGACTCCCAGGTTTATAGAACTAGACCAAGCCTGTAGGCTTTACTGATGTGTACAGGGAAAGGTCAAAAAGGAACTAGTTATCCATAGAAGTTCAGGAAAGGGACTGTTCCAAGGCAAAGTTTGGGTGATGCCCAACCATGGTCTGGCAGAGCATGTGCCCACCCTAACTGCTCAGTCCCCTGGGAAGTTTTCTTTTTCACTGTAAACTACTAAGTGGCCATTTTGATTTTTTACATCAGGCCTATGAATGTGTTAACATTGGGCCACCCCACACAATGGATTTGTCATAGCACTGTATGCAGATGAATCATCTTTCTGAGCCTGACTGGCCAGAGACCAGATTCAGACCATGATGAATTCATGGAAGTGATGACTGCCACCTTGTGCTGTTCCTTAGGATATGGCCTTCTAGGCTCCCCCAGTACAGTACCGCCGTTCTCTGTTGCCATTGGCCAGTTTGATTTCTCTCATTGCCATTTCTTCTTTGAATTCCTACACATAGTCATGCAAAAACTACAGTCCAGGATTCTCGGATCCTCATCTCCAGGTTATCTTATGAAATGGCACTGCCCACTCTGGTGAATATCCAGCATCTCAAACCTTGTATCTGGCCAGGAAGGGATGTCTGCCACCAGTAATCAGCATGTCCTCGTTACGGTCCAGCATGCAGCGCACAGGTCTGCCGGTCCTGTAGAGTGGCCAGGAGGGTTAGAAAGCTGTGAGCCTAATCAACAGCCCAGTCTTGTGAGTGTCAGGGATGCAGACAGCAGGGCAGCTGCCTTTTCTACCTGGTGCACCTGCACTGGGCTGCTTTGCTGTGCAGGCGCTGAGCCAGGTAAGTGGAGAATGTAAGGACATGTGAGGTGCATCCTCGCTCTCAGGGAGCTCATTGGAAGGTAGGGGAAATAACACATGGTCACATGTGTCCAAACACAAAGAAGCCCTCATCCCTATGCCCAAGGGTTCTGCAAACAGCTGTGAGAATTCAAAGCAAGGGGAAAATTACTTCCAACAGGAGGAGAAGCAAGCATTGGAACTCACTTGTATGCAGCCAGGGCCACCGCAGTGGACACCACAGTGCTCCGGGTTTCTTTCCCTCCAAAGCCTCCTCCCATTCTCTTCACTCGAACCACAATCCGGTTTGCTGGAACCCCCAACATTTTTGCAACAAAGCTCTACAAGGAATAGAACACTTGCATTGAATGCATCATCTGGATTTCCTTCATACCTGACCCAGAGTCTGCCTAAGATGCACAAAACTATTTACTACTGTAAATTCTGAAATTTCTTGATTCAAAATCCCCCTCTCCTCTCAGTGCAGCCTTCCATTCATGGCACCAGGGTCCAGAACTCACCAATCATAGCAGACTGAATACAGACAATTCAGACACTTGTTTTAACAAGAGGAGCAAGCAACTGATCATAGCATACTTTCAAAGCCAAAACTCATTCCAGCTGGCCAGAGACTGGTAGGTAATGAGGGAAGGACCAGCTGCCAAATATGCTGGCAACCACTGTTGCAAACAGGCAATAGAGTATATTCAAACTGCTGCAGATAATTTACTGTTCCTGTGGCTATCACTTAACCTAGTCCCCTTATTCTACAGAAGAGGAAACTAAGGTGGCTATGACTTGACCAAGGTCATTCGGCACTGATATAATAAGAATTAATACACCAGGCTTTAATTGAACTATTAAAATCATCTAATTGATACAACTTTCCTAGGTCCCATTTTACAGATGAGGAAACTAAAACCAAGGAATATTATATAACAAACTCAGTGACACCACTTATTGGGTCTGGCTCGAGGACCACTATACTCAAGTCCCCTCTGGACCAGCCCAGAACTCCCTTTCTCATTTCCCATACTGCTCTCCTAGTCTGCCAGGAGCTCCAGGTTCCCTCTTCAGGCCCTGGACCCACATGACACCCACCTGGGTCTTCATAGTGTTCTGAGTAGATACAAAGAGCTCCATCTCCCCTGCCTCGCCTTTTGGGACCGCGATGGTACAGTGAGTCTCCAGGTAGAAGTGCTCTTGGCCACCAATGTACAACTCTCCTGAAGAAGCAATGAGACCCCACACACACACACAAACACAATGAGCCCACAGCTACCAAAGAGTGGTTTGCTTGACAAGGGAGTATACTCTGCCTGTGACCTGGGAACCTCTAGGTTCCCCACCCAGGGTGGAGCAGGATCTCAGAGTCTTAGCCGTCTGGGAGTGGTGCATCTTTCCTGCTTCCCACCAAAGGAAAAACCAGAATGAATGAAACTGGAACACATCAGCTATACTGCAGCCAGTGGAAATCAAGGATTTCTAGAACTATCATAAAATAGCTCTAGAAAGAAATTGACAGATTTTTAAAAGCTGGAAATAAGAACATCCTCCAGAATTGAAGTTATCAGGCCTGGAGAGAGTTGGCTGGCTAGTGATTTAGCAATGCACAACACCCAGTGGAGAAGGCAGGTTAAAAAGGGGACTAGGCAGCAGCCCTGTCCTAGGATGAAAGCTCTGCAACTAATTTCACAGTATCAGAGAGAGGGCGGAAGGGACAAGAGAGAAGAAAGTGACAGCTGAGGATGATGAGGGCCACCTTCAGGCACATAGGGAAGGTAAGGACTCTGTGGTTAGAGGCCTGGAAGACCAAGTCTGGCCAGGCATCTGTGGTTCTTATCTTCCCTAGACAGTCTTCTAAATGAAAGTACACTATAATCTTTCTGGAGTCTCTTAGATCCAGCCCAGAGACAGGAGAGTAGAGATTAGGATGACCAAAGTTCTTTCCCAGCCAACTATCTACGAATTTGTCACAAACATCAGAGGGAACCTTCTGTTAGAAAATGTTTGGAAATCATTTCCTTGCTTCAGGGTTTAATGTATATCTCTGGAATTTAATTCACATATCAGGGTCATCCCATCCCAACTGCTGCATTTCGCAGCCATACCTGAAACAACATTATCTGCTTCGGAAAACCCCTTCTTGAGGTTTCCCTTCTCAATCTTCAGCTCAGATCCATAAAAGGAGTTGTTCTTTATGGCGTCCTGAGGACCAGAAAAAAAGTGTCAGTGACTTGGCTTTCAGCAGAGGGGAATAGTTTCTGACTGGGAAAGAGGAAGCTCTCCAAATAAGCTTCACATATATAAACTTAAGGTAGCTCTATTACAGTCCAGGCATCGTAATCCTCCATTTCCTCAGTTATAGATAACTCTGGATCTGAAGAAAGTAAAAAATCTAAGAGGGAACTATTGGTGCTGAAATCTGGAGGAGGAGGAACTAGGGTTATTTGTTAGGAAACTGAGCCTAAAATAATGGAAGCAAAGGTTTTACAAGACTCAAAATCCCATGGTTGATGGGATTGTAAAAGCCATCTAGCCAAATCCCCACCTGATGTTTGAATCTCTTCTAGAGATTGCTAACAAATGTGCCTCCTGCGTAAAGGAGCTCACTCCTCTCCACTGGCAGTCTGCTCTCAGTTACCTCAATTGTGATAATGGCTGGAAGTTCTTCATAGGTAATTTTCACCCCTTGAGCAGCTCTCTGGGCGTGTTCTGGGGTGTCAGTGACCACAGCACCAATGATGTGCCCAACACAAGTAACCTAGAAGCAGAAAAAGACTTTAAAGAATCTAACTAAGCTCCTCATGAAGCAAATTATTTTTGGATTTTTCAAAAAAGGCAAAGGAAGTCCTTGTTTTCACAATCAAAGCACATTTTAGGAATGCCCTGGGGCTCTTTAATTTTTTTATTCTACTAGTGGAGGTTAGATGCCTTTTGTAAGTGCTTAGAATCTGTAGACCTGGAATAGTACTTAGAAATCACTAGGATCAGGATGGCAAACCAATTTTATCTCAAAAGTCAATTTTTATTATATAGGATTGGAAGCCTATTGAGAAGGTGCACAGGATGTGCAATTGATGTGACAATCGACTATTGATGCCTGCCTTGAACAGAAAGGCACCAGGAAGTCTACTGTCAGTTCAGATCTACTCCAACATCCTTAGTTTTCACATGAAGAGAGAGAGAGATCTAGAAGGCAAGATCATGATTGGCTAGTTACTAGATAGAAACGAAATCTTTTTTCACTGTTGTTTTGTTTTTGTTTTAATTTATTTATTTACTGTATATCTTTACAGTGTATAATATGGTTTTTCCCAGCATGAATATGGAACATGTTAGTCAAGATATTACCATATACATTAACATCAACAGATAACTTTTCATTTTTGTTTCTATGAAATGTTTTATTTTTTACCGATTCTTTCCTTCTCACCCCTATTACTCACCCCCATCTATTCTGTCTCTAGTAGCTACAGTTGGCCCCCTGCTACTATACCTTCCAGTCTTACAGTTTCTGCTATAGAGTACACACATTCTGTACATACTAAGTAGGGGCATACAATGCCTTTCTTTCATAGTCTGGCTTACTTCACATAGCATTAAATCTTCCATGTTTGTCCATTTTGTATCAAATGTCAGGGTCTTAATTTTTCTTATGGCTAAGTAGTATTCCATAGAGTACTTGTGTCACATTTTTTTTCAATCCATTTGTCTGTTCTTAGACATGTGGGTTGATTCATGTCCAAGCAATTGTGAATAATGCTGCAATAAACATAAATGTGCAAGTGTTTTTCTGACTGTTTTCCTATCCTTTGGGTATACACCTAAAAGTGAAATTACAAGGTTATATGGTAGTTCTACTTATAGGTCATGGCTAAATCTTAGGCCCTGGCTCCCAGTTTTCTTTTCTTTCCTTACTACTCTCTCATTTTCTATTTCCTGTATTTACACCAATAACTTTTCAAAGACCACTGTCATGTCTTGATGCCCAAAAGCTGCAGCTCCCAAATGCTGGCTCTTAGATTTGATGACCCATAAACATCATTTTTGTTTGATTTATAGAATAATTGTTGTTTTCTTCTCTTTTAATAATCCATTTTCCATTAAAACTTTATGGATGTCTTCAGTAAAAATTTTCTCCTAACATTTCCCCTAAAATAAATAACCAAAAAATTATTATCCAACTCATCACTTTGGAATATGAGTTTTCTCATAATAGAAGCCAGTACTTTGCATTCACATTTCTGATCATTATCTCTTGAGAACCCAATTAAGTTATTGACTTAGTTGATTAGTGCACAAGTGTTTGAACATGAATGACCATAACCATAATATAGAAACTGTTTTTAGGGGCTCTTGAAGTTTGTAAAGCAATTTGATTTCCTACCAACTGTTCCCCTTTTGGAGTCCTTGTGTCTCATATTTGTAGTTTAATGTTCTCTCCTTTGCTTTTACATCAAAAATAAAATAAATGTACACTTGCTCCCATCTAATTTGTAATATTTGATCTACACTGGAATTAGAAAATATCCACCTGAGAGTTATTCTATGAATAAAATACAAGGACTTTTGTAGCTGCTGTCTTAAATATCTGGAAACTTTTTGTTACTGTTGTAGAATTGCATATAAAAATCAATAGATGAAATTTTATAAAAGCAAATTATCAGTACATATAGTGGTGCTATAGTAATTTCTTGTCTAATCAATTTGTTTAATGTATTATTTTCTTTTAGTAAGGGAGTTTAGTTGTACTGCCACTTTGGCATTATAAACAGCAGCCATCTATTAAATAAACAAGGAAACATTAAATTAAATTAAAATTAAAAGTGCAATGAGACATATTCTAGCCCTTTATGAATTGCCCTAAATACTAGCCAACTGGCTTGGCTACCATATACACAATGAATAATCTTTTCAAGGGATTTGGAGCAATGAGCACAAATTGCAACTTCAGTACTTATTTCATTTATTTCATATTTCAAAATCAAGACATACCTCATCCTTTGCAAAGACTGTTTCATCATTGCCAAGTCCTGTTACGTTACTCCCAGGAATGTCGTCAGATGAGAGGAAGCAAACAAATCCAGGCACCTTCTTAGCCTCTGACGTATCTATGGACCTGCAAGAATGAATAGTGTGAGGGGCCAGGCCAACAGCCTGAAGCAAAGTGGTCACCTAACTGGATAACTTGCCCTCACTTTAATGGTTTTTCTCCACCCTATCTCCTCCCTTCTCTATCATCTTTTTTTATTAAATTCTGACTCAATTCTATTTTATTATGCAAATATTGGTTAAATACTTACCATGTTAGGGCCACTGTGCTGAATGCTGCTGGCAATAAAAGATGAATGAGGCAAGCTATGCCTCCAGGGCCCTTATGCTATACCCAGTCTGGGCTTCCAGTACAAGGGATCCCCATCACAGTGAGCAGCATCTACTCTGAAAAGCTCCGGCTAAAATGCACATCACCAGCTAATGCCCATCTAGATCAGCACAGTAGGGCCTTTGCTGAACCACTGATACAGAGGCCCTAAACAGCCTCATACTGCCAAAGTTTTCTCCCCTCATTAATGGTGCCATCCCAGCACAGCAGGGCATCCCTGACATAAGCAGATGACACAGATCTCAAAGGAAGAATTCCTGGAGAGTGTATCAATTACAGTAGTCTAAACAGGTGCTGATCACTCCACCCACAACTCCATGGAGAAGTAATGCAGAGGTACTATTTCACGGAAAGGAATAGAAACTTCCTGATGTACCAGCCATCTCCAAAACAGTTAATCCTCAGAAGGAACCATGAAAATAAATATCATTATTCTCAATTCTCATTTTGGAGAGAAACTCTAGCTCAGTCAGGGAGGTCAGGGCACTTGTCCAAAAATCACTGAGTTAGAAGGCAGCGTAGCTGGGATTAGAACCAAGATGAGGCTGAATGTGCCAAAGTCTATGCACACACCAGATCTGCTCTTTGCGCTCCTTTCCAAGCGTGTGTATCCAGGAGAGACCTGGTGCTGCAGTTACTCGTGTCCACCCCATCCTCCTCCAGCCATTCACACATTGCTGAGATGGCGGTTGAGTGAATCATGTATTGTCAACACAGGCTCCAGACAAGGGCAAAGGCAAAGGAATTTACCCCCTAGTTGGAAACCATATGAACTTAAAATTTCTTTCCAGGGGACTAGAAAAATTTATTTATCTGTTAAATTTTATCTGTGTCTGGTTTACCATTCCTGGAGCCTGTCTCTAGGCTAGGAGCAACAGACCAATGATAAGGATGGTGATTCCCAGCTACTCAGCAGCCCACATATCAATGCCCACTAGGAAATGAACATCACGCTCTCTGGCTAGAACTTCCAGAGGCAGCAAAGTCCACTTGCTAATGCTGCTTGTCTTCTAACACTGACTCTGTTATTTATCAATTGTGTGGCCTGAAGTGAGTAACTTACCTCGCTGTGTCTCGGTTTCCTCATCTGGAACAAGGAGATAATAGGACCTACCTATAGAGCTATTATAAATTACAAATGAACCAATGAATGTAAAATGCTTTAAACTATGTTGCTACAAACATTAAGTGTTATGTAAGTGTTAGGTGCTAATACTGTTTCTGTTTGAACTCTCCAAGTTCAACAAACACCTACAAGTGACTATTGGTGCTAGGTGTTTTGTGGACTCTATCATTAACCCTCCCTATTACAGATGGGGAAATTGAGAGTTTAAGTTCACTGGTCGTGGTTATGCACGGTTGCTAAACACTACAGTAGCTATTCAATTCTAGGTTTATCAAACTCTACAGTCTTGTCCTTCTCTTTAGTGTAAATTCAAGTTCTCCTGAAATTTTTCCTTTAACTTTAGCCCAACGTCCAAAATGCAAGTCTAATTTGTCCCTGTTGAAAGTCTTTTGGTAGCTCCCTATTGCTTCTCAGGCCTTCCCTGTGAGGTTTCTGCCTAGCTCTCTAACATCAGCTTCCCTCATACTCTCAGCACCAGAGCCTCTCAGGTGCCACTGGGCCCCTGACCCCTCCTGCTCCTCTCCAGACTGTGGTTTGGAGATATTTTCCATCTTCCTCTGCAGACTGGGAAGCTCTGGAGGCACCTCGTTATCTGTGTACCCTCTGGCGACAGGTGGAAGTCGTGCGGTGCCACCAACTCCTCTGCAGCAGCTACTCACTTGATCTTGGCATGGGCCTTGGTGCTGGTGACCAGTCGGAGAGAGAGCTCATTCTCGTAGCGAGGGATGTCATCACAATACACAGCCTCCCCAGAAGCCTGCATGTTTGCAGCCAGGTGGGGCACAGGCCGACCCACCATGTCCTCCTCAGACTGACCCTTGGGCACCTCCTGGAACAACATGGTCATTGGTCAGGCTGAGATGCTAAGAACATTGTTCTTCTGCAGGCCCTGGGAAACTGTAGAGAGCTGCAGGCCAGATGGCAAAGCCAACCTGAGAGTAAGAATGGAGGAGGCAGAGGACATGGGGTGAAGGAAACAGAAAGGCACATGAGAAGTAATTGGTAAAGGTGGTCATAGTATCATTATATAATACTGTAACTATAATGTAGTTATAGTTCCATTATATAAAGGAACCTAAATGTCCATTAATTGGTGATTGGGTAAATAAATTATGTTACACTCATACAATGGAATAGCATATAACCCTTAAAACATATTTTGAAGATTTTTTTTCTTGTTTTACTATAAGGCACATGCACTCACTGGAGAGAGAGAGAGGGGAGAGAGAGAAAGAGAGAGAGAGGACAGCCATGCCCCAATCCCTTCTCCTCCATTTTCCTCTCGGGATTTTGGACACACATACACATGTGTCTGGTGTCCTATCCTCAAACGGGGCAATTGAACCTGTGGAATCCGGCTGCTTTAACCAATATGCTGTTAGCAGGCTCAAGAGATTTTCATTTTTAATTGCCACAGTACATAAGGATTGTCAGAGACAAGAGAGAGAGGGAGAAGGAGGAAGTACTCCCTAAGGGTGATTGTGCCACATCCCTTCTCCACCATTTCTCCCTCCTGTCAGGACTTTAGGCACACATGCACACATTCCCGGTGTGCCCTTCAAGCTGCTGATACCAGGACTTGAACCGAAGTTAGTCATGTCGTTTTTCACTCCCTTAACCACTATGGTTCAGGGCTGGCCCTAAAGAAATTTAACTAGGAGATCAGAGGTGATGTAGTGGTTAAAGCACTGGACTCCCACATGACTGAGAGTGGTTTGAGTCCTGGATGTGGCAGCTTGAAACTCACACCAGGTGCAGGTGCATGCATGCCCACAATCCTAAGTGGAGGATGGAGGAAAAGGGACTTCAGCATGGCCATCCCCCTTGAGGAATGATTTCTCACTTTCTCTCTCTCTGTCTCTCTAGCAAGTGAACATGCCCTATAGCAAAAAAATTATCTCAAAAACAAATATATATATACATAATTGGGTTGTCTGAAAAGTCATGACAAATTTTTGCATAGAAAAAACTAGAAAAAATACATCATGACTTTCTAGACAGCCTAATGTAACTATGGCATATCTTGTTCATAGATGCACAGGATAAAATGGAGAGAAGTAAACAATAGTATCATAATGGTTTCCTCTCAGAATTAGAATTTGGGGTGATTTTTATTTTCTTTTTATATTTGCCTGGGTTTTGTTCCAAAATGGTTTAAAATGTATTATTTTATCCTAGAGTTCTATCTTCATTTGTTTTTTGAAGTAATAATACTATGGCTAGTATTTATTATTATTAATATAATGTTTACTATATAGTCCGGGCAATATCTAAGCAATTTACATTTTATTTTTATTACACATTAAGTCTTTGAAACCAGTCTATGAATATTATTTACATTTGCAGGTGGGCTTATTAAATTGACCAAAAGGCTCAGAGAGCCAAGAGTAAGTAACTCGCTCAAGGATGCACAATTGTAAACTGGCGGAGTGTGGATTCAAATCCAGGCAGTCGGGGCCCAGAGTTCAGGCTTTGGCCCACTATACTCTAGTGTAGCAGTTAGCCAATCATGACTTGAGAGCCATACCTTGCGCATTATCTGTTTTATTGGCACACAGTACACTTACTCTTTTATGCATTGCCTATGGCTACTTCAGGCTATGATGACTGGGTGGAGGAGCTGCAATAGAGGCTGTGTGGCCCACAAAACCTAAATTGTTCACAGGAAATGTTTGCTAATCCTTTACCTAGTGCCTCTCAACAACCTGCTGTAGAAAAGATTTGTGTGTGTGTGTGTGTGTGTGTGTGTGTGTGTGTGCGCGCTTAAGACATCTGGTTTTGCATATTAGCCCCACAGAGGGACCAGAAAAGACCCTGATGACATTTTGTTTTTCTTCTTTAAGGAGCCTGGGAAAACGAGATTTAGGTGACTCTAAAGGGGGAATGAGCTACATTGACATGACTGTTTTCACTTTCTTCACTATTTATGCATGAGAATAAGGAGCTTTATGTACCCCTGTACAGTTCAAGTTGGCCATTCACCAATGATCAGCCACTGATCATCTGATGTGAACTGCAAAGGCCTCTGATACTTGCCATGTGCCATCTGTACTCACTTGGAAGAGCTGTGTGTTGGCTGGAGGGTCTTTCTGGAAGAGTAAAGTGGCACTGGCATGGGTGGGATCCAGTTTACCACACTTCTGTGGAGGAGAAAATAACAGAGGCAACCATGACTATCTTTGGATCACCGATCCTCTCTTTGGTTTTCCCCACTTAACAACAACGTTTCCCCTCACCCCCTCATTTTATGTTTCTTTGAGTACTGGCTGGTCTCGCACTGTCCAAACATGAGCTCTGAGAGCTCAGTACTTGACAACAGTTACACCGTGTACCCTGCACACTGAATGGCTTGAACCTTCTCCAGCACACCAAACTGTTTCCCTCCTTCCTGCATTCACATGTGCTTCTCTCTCTGTTGGGAATATCCTTCTCTCCCAGCCTTACTGGAAAAGTCTTTCTTGCTCTCTCCTCAATTCCATGGAAAGTATTTAATGACAGAAAATGTTCACGATATACTCTCAAATGAAGGAAGCAGGATATAAAACTCTATACACAGTGTGATTCCAGATTTATTTGGAAAATAATATGCCCAAAAGGTAGCAAGATAATAGCTATATTGAGAGATGGATGGCAAGATAGATATGAGATGTATTCCAAAGTTCTACAGAAAATGCATATGAAAAAACTATGCAAGGACTTCAATTGAGGGAGCACCAACATAAACTTGTACTTGGAGTACATTTTTTCCACAAACATTTCGAAGTCCTCTAGAAAGAGAGAATGAGATGGGACAGACAGACTGACAGACAAAGGTACAGATAATGTAAAGAAAAGATTAGAAGAACAAACCAAAATATTAGTAGTTTGGGTTTTTGTTTGTTTCCTAGGATCTGAGAGTAGGAGTAATTTTAGTTTTTCTTTATATAGCTCTGTATGTTTTAGGTTTTCCACAGTAAGTCCTTATTACTTTTATAATCAGGGGGAAAATAAAGTATTATCAGTGTTTTTAGCTCCATGGGCCCGTCTGTGCCCCCTCAGCACTCCATCTCTATAGTCACACAAAGCTGACCTTCACTGACCATGTTCTCCCACATACAGCTGGTCCTGTATAATAGGAGCAAAATAAATGCTTGTTGGTGAATGCATTTTGGGATCTGGGCCCCACCTCAGCCGGCCCCCTTTCCTGAATGTGCCTCCTTTGCCAACCATGTACCCCCTGGGTCTGCCAGCCCTACTGTACACTCTCATTCCACTCCACCTCTATACTCTACTGACCCACTCTGACCTACATACAAAACCACAGTCATAACAACTTTATGACTAGAAAGATCAGCCATCCTCCTGCCCCCATTTGCAGATTTGCAGGTTACACAGCTGAGACACAGAATCATGGTTGTTTCAGTTCCCACAGTGAGGCAATGTCAGAGGCAGGACAAGAACCCAATTCCCTGTCTCCCAGCCCAGCCCTTGCCTCTCAGTCAGCCAGTCAGCTCTACCTCCTTGGTTCCTAGGTTGTGTCCCTGGTACCAGCTTTTCTGCCCTCAGAAGTCCAGAGAGGAGTAAGCTTACTACCCAGACCAGCTTCCCAAGTCTCCAAGCAAACGTGCCACAGACTCTGTTCCCTTCCCAGGCCCACACTCACATCTTCTGGGTTTTCCTTGCCCAGCTTCTGAAGCACCGTCAGGTAAAACTTGAAGAAGAAGCTGAGGGTGAGAGTGCGTCGGAAGTCCACCATGCCACCAGGGGCATCAGGGGGCAGGTGTAGCTCCTCAGCCAGGCCTGCACACACCTCCTGCAGCAGCTCCTCATTCCAGAACCTGCCAGAGGGCAGAGTGTGAGGGAGTACTCCCATCCAGTTCTCTGAACCATTTCATGTGGAGCAGCATGCCTAGGGCCTCCTCTGAAACTTGGTTAAACATTTGACTCAGATACTTATAGTTATGTGACCTTAGGCAAGTTACTTGACCTTCTTGAGCCTCAATTTCTCATCTCTTTTTTTAATTAAAGTTTTCTCTCTTTATCCGTGATACAGCCCATGCCATGCACATGAGAAGGAAAAAGAGAGATGAGCAGACCCTTCACAGGGTCTGGTCATACCATGATCTCCCCTTTCTCCAGTCCCCCAGTCTTGGGCACTCATGCTCATGCCCAGTATATTTCTGTCAGGTCAGGCCAGGGATTCGAACCATGGTTACCACATGGGATTCTCTTGAGTAGTGTATGATCACTCTGCCATGGAGCTAGCTCAACTTGTTTATTTTTAGAATAATATTAAATCTATAAAGTCCCTCTAATGTCCTAAGTTCTTTATGAATCATAACTTCTAATTTAATTAAAAACTGTAGTAGAGAAAAATCTTACATCCATTTTACCAGCACAAAAATTGGACTATGAAAAGACTGAATATGGAATATACCAGTACCTCTCAAGCTAGTTTTCTAGCTAAATAAATGGATGTAATTAATTTTATGGTGGAAAAGAACTTTACTTTCTATTATGCTTTCCTTCAATGTGCAAAATGATTACATAAATATTTTTAATATAAAAAAGAAACAATAAAACATTAACAAACTCAAAAAAAAAAAAAAGACTGAGTAACTTCTTTTACTCATCTTGTAACTGTTGGAGCCAAAAATTGAAACTAAGGAGCTAAATCCCAAGTTACCCTTTATCTATCCTATGTGGGTACCTTGAAGACTACATAGGATAATGTCCACTGGCTCAGTACAATTGCTGCCATACAGGAGTATTAGTAACAGTATTATAACAGAAAAAGAAAAAGAGAAAGAAAGATATAAAGAAGGAAGGAAGGAAAGAAGGACGGACGGAAGGAAGGAAGGAAAGAAGGAAGGAAGGAAATAATAAATAAATAAATAAATAAATAAATAAATAAATAAATAAATAAATAAAAGCAGTAGTATTAGCATTAATAGTAGCAGCAATCACTACTAGCCATAGTAGTAGTAGTGGTGGTAAACATTGCAGTAACACTATTCATAGTAGAAACAGCAGTAGTGGTAGTAATAATGACAGTAGTAATAGCAGTAGTAATAGTATAGTAGTAATACTAACAATAGCAGCATCAGTAGTAACAATAGTAAGCAATAATAGTTGTAGATGCAATGATCATACTAATAGCAGTAGTAGCAGTATGAAAAGTAGCTTCAGTAATAGAAAACAGTACAGCAGCAGTAATACTAGTAGTAGCATTAGTAATGGTGAAAGCAGCAGCAATAGTAACAGTAGTAACAGGAACAGTAATACTACTGGCAGTCAGAGTCCGCAGCAGTGGCAATAGTGAAACTGGTAGAAGCAGTAGCTTCATTTTGCTGTGAGCTCTTACTTGGACAACTGCTTCTGAGTGGTCTTGAGGGCTGAAATGGTTCTATTGGCCATTCCACCATAGCAAAGGGCCAGCTCCTCAACCTCTGCAGTTCCTGGCTTGAACAAAACTCTCATACCGCTGGTCACCTTGGCAATGTCATCTTCTCTCCGAGAGGCCTGCTTGAATGCTGAGAAAAACTCACCCTAAGAAAGGAGAAGAAAGTGACTGTTTGTCATCTTGTTTTGCAACTCTTCCAAATGGTGAACTTGCAGCACCAGGCCATGAGGTGAGGTGAGGATGCCAGAGGGGGAGCTGGCCTCAGGAATCAAAGATCAAAGACCAAGACATAATGGTCTACAGTTGTAGAAGAAATTTCCAGAGAACATTCCCAGAAGCTGAAAAAGGGTCAGGAATTCTCCTTGTTAGTGAGGAAAGCCGAGAGTCAGGGACAGAGTAAAAACCATGTGGTCTGCTCTGAACAAACACCTGAGGAAGAGGAAGCATGCTTTCACAAAGCTCTTCAGAGACCCTTCAGCACCCATTATCTCCCCCACACTTATGCCCAGTATCAGCACCCACTCACTTTCCCTGTTGGCTTGGCTGCCTCTTCAGTAGCCCCATGAGATGCCAAAGGCTATTTGAAAAGGCCTTCAACTGGCCTCCACAGATCTCTCTCTACCAGTCCCTCCCACTAGGCTATTGGCTACACTAAGAAACCTTGCTTCCTGCAAGAAAGTGTCACACTATAAAACAAACACTGCCTTTGTGCTTCAAACGCCCTTTCCCTGCTGGGTCCAAGCCAGGGTCTGTCTTCAGGAATAGGAGAAGATGAGTTTCCTTCCAGGAAAGAACCGTCCTACTTCAAGCCATCCCATGGTAGGTTCCTCTTGAGGTTTAAACTCACCTTGGCACCACAGATTCTGATTAACACCAAAGGTAGGAGACTTAAGGAAGGAAGTCTACTAGGGAGGCACAATGGGGCCACTGTTGAGGCCCCCAAATGGCCACAGGCTTTTCTTTGAAGAAGATATGGAGAATCCTCTTGACAATAAAACTAGTTTATTCCTGGATGTCAAACAATGAGCCTGGGGCTTTCATTTGGTTTTGGAACAGAGGTTCCAGATGCTCACTCTAAGAACTGCACTGGTCCAATGGAGCCATTTTCACCCTGCCAATGACCCTCAGTGTCAGGTTGACAACACCCTTTCTTGAGAAAGTATCCTAATTCTGAGTATTAATTATTATTTTATTCCTTTCTTTCATGATTTGTTGTTGTTGTTGACAGCCTTGCCTAGCAAAGTAAAAACTGGGCGGTACTAGACCTGTTTCCTCCTCCTGCGCTGACTTATATAAAAGGTTTTACTCACCTATGAAATTCAAAACTCTGAGAATCACTGCTCAGAAGGGTTTTATAAGGACAAGCTAGAAAACCATGAGGAAACCACCTCAGGGATGTAATTGCTCTAAATTTAATTACCATTCTCATCAAGGAGGTCAGAATTTGCAAAGGCAAAACAAGTCTAAAACCCTCGCCAAAGCAATAGCTGCTGTAAGTCCTTCCACTCATCTTGACAGCTGCTTCACAGACTCTCACCAATTTTCTACAAGGCCCATCCCATTGTGGAATGACTCTTGAGCTGGCAACTGCTGAGAGAGGAGAGGATAGACCAGGCCAAGAGACTACAGGCTCCACAGAACAACAGCAAGGCAGCCAGAGGTACTCAGACCTGCTAAACAGGTCAGAAAATCTGCTCATGAAGCAGAAAGCCTTCAACCATAGCACAGAGCTAGGTCAGTGAATTAACACCTCCTCTAGCCCAAGGTTAGCTGGAGAGGCGCTGGCTCCCAGGCAGCTTCTCCACTCAGTACACAAACGGCACACTCTTCTCCACAGGAAAACATGTCTTCTTTGACTCAGGGAGGAAATACTTGGCCCTGGATGTGCTCTTGGAATTGTGTTGCCAGCAGTGTTGTTGGCTGTCTTCACCAGCTTCTTCACATCTTCCAGGAACCTTCTGTATTATTTATTTTCAGTCCTCACGATAATCTGTGAAGTAGGTAGCGTGGTACCCATTTTACAAGTCAGGGAATTGGGGTGCAGAAAGGTGAAATGTCTCACTTGGAATCACACATCTAGCTGACTGGTTTCATTGTCCGTGCCCTGTGCATTCCCTACTCTGCAGCTTCTTGTTGTCCAGAGAAGAACACGGGTGGTTCTTTAGAGGCAAAGTTTCAGAGAGATGCTGAAGTGGTTCCTCTGGTCTCCTTTTCTGGAGTTTGGTGGTGGTAGTTTGGGTGCAGCCTAACCAGTCCCTCACAACTCACCTCCCTGCTGTAGGGGATCTCTATGGAAAGCAGTATCTCCTCTGGGCTCAGCAGGGTCTTTCTGTAGCCAGGGAAGAAGGTGTGATCCATTCGAACAGTTCTCCTGGTGCCTGTACAGAGGTAAGATGAACAGGGACCAGGTGAAGGAGAGGCAGAGGATCACATCAAGAGCAGACAGAGCACAGCCTGCCAGTGGGATTCTCCACCCGAAAGTTTGATGCCCACAGTCAAAGGAAACAACTGGCACAATTAGAGCCAAAAATCATGAACAGCAATAGTGTGCTGGGAATAGTTAACAACCAACTCTCGGGAGGAGAGGGGGTGGCTCTAATTTGTAACATGTTCTGGTTTCCATGACGTCAATACTCTCACTAAGCCAATTTCAAGTTACCAAAGTCATATCACTGAATGTAAAGTTGGGAAGAGGGCAACAAAGAGTTAACACCGTTGGGCTGTCCTCAACTGCTACCCTCTATAAGGCCTGCTTCCAAGGCTTGCCCTCGCAGGCATCTGACTTTCAGAAGAGATCCCACCACCCCGTAAGTGTGGCTTACTGTGCCTGAACTCTTGCAACCAGGATGCTTTATGCTGAACACCTGCTTTCCTTCTGGGAGTCTGGACTTTTGGTACATGCCAGGCAAAGGCTTTCTCTGTAACCAGCCCTCCAAGAAAACCCTGGGCATTGAGTCTCTAACAAGCTTTCCTGGTAGATGACAATGCACGTGTGTTGCCAGAACTCACTGCTGGGGGAATTAAGGATGTCCTAGGTGTCTTTGCTGGAGAGACTCAGGGAGCTTGTGCCTGGTTTCCCCCAGCCAGGCTACTATGTACCTTTTCCTTCAGCTTATTTGGCTGTACCCTACTGCTGTAATAAGCCACAGCCATGAGTGTGACTATGTGCTGACTCCTTCTAGTGAATCATCAGACTGGGGTGGAGACAGGAGCAGTGGGTGGTGAGGTCTTAGGGATTTGCTGACAGGCAGAAATGCATAGGAACATGCCATTGCACATTTCTACTACACAGATAGGATGAACACATATAACCCTGAGCACATGGATGGTAGTAATATTAAATAATTCAGAAATGGTGAATTTTTAGTATTGATTATCTTTGTTCTGAATGTAATTTCATTCATTTCAAGTATATATCACTTATTTTTAAATAATGACTATATTTAAAAAATGGCTCACAGAATTCCTGAAAACCCAGCCATCAGTTATAGGGAATCCAAGCATTCAACCCACCACATCACCAGCTATGGCACCCAGATGACGGATCCTGCCAGGATCTTATATAAATAAATGACTCACTCTCTCAGCTCACAACCTGATGCATCTCCCTTAGCTTCCCTGGGCCCAAACCTTAGAACATCTGAGTGCCTGATCTTTGGCTCTGCTTCTTCAGAAAAATGACCTATGTAGTGAGACTACTCCGTAGAGTCCCCCTTTCTCTATTTCAGAGAGCTCACCTCTGGACACGAGGGTCAGCTTGGCCCCACTCGCCATGAACACAGGATTGAGGTCAGAGATGGGGCTGGCGGTGATGATGTTCCCTCCGATGGACTAAAGCAAGAAGAGAGTGTGAGTAAGAGCCCACCCCAGGAAGCTCTGGCTCACCCAGCTGGCATCTAGGCATAGGACAGGTGGTGACCCTTGCTGCAAGCAGACTCCCAAGGCCTAGACCTCTGTAGGCAGAACAGTTGCAGTAAGAATATGGGCATTCAGAAAAATATGCAAAATTTTAAATCTGGACACTTGGAACTGGGTGCTAGTTCTGAAATTTATTACTTGGTAAATCAGGGTAAGCCCCTATAAGCTCGTTTGATTTCATTCAAACTTTTTTCTGAAAGGATTGAGGTACTTCCTCACAGGGGCCATGTAGAGTTATTGAAATAGGAGCATGAGACAGCAAACAAGGACAAAGAGGAGGAATACAGAAGACCTAAACCATTTGCTCTATTCAGTTCTGAGCTTTCTGGTAACATGTCAAAAAATTTGAGGAGAATCAGATATAGGGTTCTCATTAGTAGAAAAGAGGAAGAAAACAAGTTGTGCAATGAAAACAAAACATTCCTAGAAGTAGGTTCTAGCAGAACTAGGGAACTCAGCAGAGTATACTATGTTTATGTCTTCCTAACTATAATCAGAATTGGCAGGTTCCTGAGGAGGAGGAAGGGGAATGGGAGTGAACTGTTTTGTTTTAATTTTTAAAACAATTAGAAAGAAATCTATTGTGGACTTCAAATGGCCCAGGTGTGTGAATACCACCAAATGCAAACTGGGACTTTGGGGGCTAGTCTGAAAATTAACGTGAACAGTCAACAGGTGGATCTGTCTCACCTCTTGGGGAGCGCCATCTCTTCTCCTCCTCAAACTCTGAAAGGAAATCCCCTCCCAATTTTGGCTTCTTCCTAATAGATCTCTCATTCACCTACTGATGGCCTTGGCCAAATTGAAGAAGAGTGTGGAAGAAGTACCTTTCTGAACTCAGGGTGAAAGATCACAAGCCACAGAGTCAGTGTTGCCAAAGTGGCACCCATCCACCTTCATGAGAATCACCTGAAGGGCTTATAGAAACCTGATCCCTGGGCTCTATCTTAGATATACCAGGCAGAATCTAGAAGGCATGCAAGGCCCAGAAATCTGTATTTTAACAAGCACCCAGGTAAGACTGAGCACGAAAGTTTGGAGCGCACTAGGTTAAAAACAAGTGTGAGTCTGCAGCAGAGGCTGGGCAAACCACCTGCCTTCCACCACCATCCTGGGCACCTTGCTTGCTTCTGAACAGAGACTCACCGCCACAGACTTGACCTGCTTCCCAGCAAACCAACGCATCTGCTCCAGGACTCCCCTAAACACCTCTGTTTTTTGGACAGGAAGATTAGCAACCGCATCAACCAGGATCTGTTCCACAGAACTCAGGGAGCAAGCAGCTCCAAAGGAGATACCTGGGAATACATAAGCAGAATGTCAGCAACCCCAAGTATAGATCTAAAACACTCCCATAAAGAGAGAAAGCAAGCCACCAGGTCTGGGACTTGAACCATGGTCAGCCATGTGGGAGTCCAGTGCCCTTAACCACCATGCTACCTGCCAGCCCCCAAACTAGTAGTTCTTAACTCAGAAAAATCAGAATCTCTAAGTATGAAGTCCTAGCAATTTTTTTTTTTAAAGCACTTAACCATCCCTGTCTCTCCACCAACCTCCCCACTCATGGGTTATTCAACGTGTAGTAAGGACTGAGAACAACCATTGAACCTCACAACCCGTTGCCTGCTGGCTCCCAGCCATGGATGTCTGGTGGATGGAAGGCAGTGAAGGGTGCTCTTTTCTCCGGTCATTTCTTTCCCCTGGGCAAGGTGAGTTCCAGGAAAAGCAGGCAGCAGTCAGAGCCAAAGGGAGGTCATGACATCTGCCACCCTCACTTACCCTCGGGTCCATGCTGCACTGAGTTCAGTTCAGGGATCCAGGCTGGGCAGACAATCAGAGGGAACAGCATGTTCTTAAACTTCATCTCAATGCCTTAGAGAAATGGGAAACCTGGAGTTTTATCTCTGGGGTTGTAGCACCAGGGCTGGCCTCAGCAGTTTTCCCACCATTGTGAGCAGGATGTGTAATGTAGCCACAATCATAACAAGCTCCCTGGGTGTCTCAGGATTAGGAAGTGCAGAGAACAAGGTGAAAGATTAAGTGCAATTTCTAGACTGTCAGCTTCAAAACTATGTCTTTCTCTCACTCTCAAAAAAAAATCTGTCCAAATTAAATGAAACGAATTTGCACTCATTGTAATGTGTGTGTGTGTGTGTGTGTGTGTGAGTGCACATACACAATAGCAACATTAGAAAAGCTGACTGGTGAGAAATATATTCATGGTGGGAAATTCACTTTACAAGCTAAGTGACATATAATGATTAAAAGTATAAAAGAAATTAAAATAAAATAAATTTAAAAAGAAAAGAAAGAAAATCTGATATTAAGACATGTCAGGAACTCTTCTAAGCACTTTACCTATTTTAACTCATTCAATCTCCATAACAAGGTACTGTGCTTTCCTAAGTTTATAGACAAAAAATCTGAGACTCAGAGAGGTTACGTTTCTAGCTGAGACTACACAGCTAACAGGCACATTTCAGCACTTGAGCTATTGTTAGTGTTGGGCTATACTAGTAATAAAAACATGGAAAAAATCTAACATTAAAACAGAATAAAAGGAAAAGTGGGGACTCTGCACCACATTTATGCTCATGAGGCCAGTCCTCCTCTCTGAGGCTGAGGAACCAACTGGAGCTCAGGGTCAGGAGCTCCTTCCAGAGCCAAAGTCAAGAGTTCCACACAAGTTGGATTTGACTGCTTAAAAGCATGCCAAGTTCTCCTGAAACCAGAGGCACCCCTGCCATCTCTCCGGCTTGGGAAACCTCAGAGCTGAGATAAGCCCGGGACACCTTGAGCCTCTCTGGCCTGTTCAACTACTGAAGTCCTCACACTCCTCATGCAGGTGCTGGCTAGGCATATGGCAATGGCCACAGCCAACACAGACAGTCAGGCGCAGACATCTCTTCTCCTTTACCTTATCACATCATCTCACTTTAAAAAGGCAGGGTGGGGGCAAAAATAGTATCATTTCAGGATCTGCTAGCATCTGTCAGACACTGTGCAGACCTTTAGCCTACATGACTTCCTCCCCTCTTTGCCTAGGAGAGCCTTGAGGAAAGAAAACAGTCCCACTTGAGAAGAGGATTCCTCATGCCTCCTGCAAACTAATCATTTCAGGGGACAGGAGAAATGAAGACTTTCTACTGATAATTCAGCTTCCAGCAAACAAAGCTAGCAGGGATCTAAGGGCATTGTAGCTAAACATCCAAATACTATTAGGGTTAACATATTCCTCAATATCTACTGAATCTGCTGCACCAGCTATCACAACAGAACAGCGAAGAGATTCCAGATCACCTCTTTCTGCTTGCTCCTGAACACTCAGACTGAACTTCAAGAATTCGAAAGAAACACACCATCCATCAGATGACAAGAAATCATCACAGGACCACAAGAAATATGGGAAAGCAAGTTATTTTTCCAAGGGAAAAGAATAACTCCTCTTCATCCACAAGCAGTTCAATGCAAATCACAGAAATGTCTGATAAAGAATTTAGAGTATTCATAATGGCGAAGCTAACTGAGATGGAAGAGAAGAGAGACAATGAACTCCTAAAGAGAAAGGAGAAAGAAGTTGACGAGTTCCAGGAGGTGAGGAAATTCTTGCAAGATCTAAAAGAGGAATTA